CTCCAGAAGAACTTGGAAGGAAAACAGAGATGGGGTAAGCCAGGGCCACCAGCAAAAGATCAAATGTTGGTTGAATTTAACATCTTCACTTGTTAAAATGACAGTAAAAGGAAAGGCTAAACAGAAGAAATAGTTAAATAAGTTATAGAGGAAGACATGCCTTCAGGGAAAGGAGGAGACTCTGGGGAAGGCTGTATGCTTTTCATGGTTTCAGGAAAAAACTGAAAATGACCATTTTCTATTAAATACATTAAGGCTCAATTCTGTTAACCTTCTTCAAGCTGAGAAGCACCTTACTCCAAGGGTATGTCTACACAGCAACTAGACGCCTGGGGTGGCCTTTGCCAGCTTACTTGGGCTACTGGGGCTCAGGCTCCAGGGCTATTTCATTGCCATGTAGACTTCTGGGCTTGTGTGGAGTCTGGGCTCTAGGATCCTGTGAGGTGGGAGGTCCCAGAGCTCAGGCTCCAGCCCGGAAGTCTACACAGCAATGAAACAGCCCCATACTGCGAGGTTCATGAGCCTGAGTCAGCTGGCATGGGCCAGCTGTGGGTTTTTCCTTGCTGTGTAGACATATCCTAAGTAGACTCCTGATTTCAATGGGGTAAGGTACTATGTATTGTGAGCAAGGGTGGCAGAGTCCAGCCCGCCATGAGAAAAGCTTTTTGTATATGAGCAGAAAAAAATCTGAAGGACGTGCGTATGAGCCTTCTCATTGAGATAGGGAAGAGAATGTAGGAGACTGATGGTGTTGGGGCCTTGGCCAGCTGGCCTGGCTTTGGGCTCTTTTAGTATGATCCAGTGTCCCTGCAAAAGCATAGCTTAGAATCTAACTGCAGGCATTTCAAGAACTCATCTCACCTGGACTGAATTTAAAAACAAAACAAAACAAAACCCCCTCAGTTTTGGCTGGCTAATGCAGAGTGTTTACCAGAGTTGACAGAAAAATATTGCAGTTACTTGTCTTTGAGTGCCAGTCCAAAATGCAAATTCTGAAAAATTTTGTTCACAGTAGGCTGCACTGTCAAATCATAAGGGTGAGAGAATAAAAGTACTGAATTTGCATCAATAAAACATACTGCAGTAGAATGATCTCAACTTAAATAGACAAACTTTCCTGCACCAAAAATTCCAGAATGTTTAAAGTGATGTTTTCTGAAATATCCTATAATTCTGAACATGTTATATACAAGTTATCTTTGCAGGGTCGGTGCAAGGATATTTTGTGCCCTAGGCGAAACTTCCACCTTGTGCCGCCCCTCCCCCTGCGCGTAACATCGGTTCATTGATGGACAAATCCCAACGAGCCTTTATAGACCCCAAGGGCCAGCCATGCCCAGGGGCTACTCTCCAGACCAGGTCCCCCCCTCCCCGCCACCTGAACTCCCCTGGAGAGTGCACAGCCCCCCCGCGAGCCGTCCCCTCCCCACCCCACCCCGGCGGCCCCCACCCTGAGTCCACTCACTGGCTTTGCCGGGCTTGGGCCGCTGCAGCAGCTCGGCAGGGAGGAGCTGCCTTCTGGGGGTCCTGCAGCAGATGCATGTGGGCAGAGGCCCCTGTGCGCCCCCCGGCTTCTCCCTCACTGCACTTGGGTTCTGCAGCTCCCGGGAGTGTGAGCCGCCGCTGCCCGTCCCCCTCCCAGAGCAGGCTCAGGGCCCCACACTCTGGCGGTGGCTCACATATGCATCTGCTGCAGTCTACAGAGGCTCCCCGGGGGGGTGCCAGGTCGCAGCCTGTGCAGGAGGGGCGGGGGACGCGGCTGTTTCCCGCTAGCGGCACCACCGCCTTTGCAGGGCTCCTGCTCCCCTGCACCGCGCCAGCTCCTCCATGACTGGGGCTCACCGCACCCGCAAGCCCTATGCAGTATTATTAAACTGGTGCCCCTATGCCCAACGGCAGCCTGAGCTTGCAGTGGGGCAGGGGCAGAGGGACAAGGCAGAAAGAATAACAAGACGCCTGGCATGCCTCACGGTGGCGGAGTGTCACAGTTCCCCGCAGAGACCCCTGTACCCTCTCCCTCACGCAGAATGGACATGCAGAAGGTACCTAATTAAAAGCACTAAACTTGGGAATAAAAAATGTCAGTCACAGGTTTTTTGATATGCCCTGAAGTTTGTCAGACATTTATTTGCAAAAATGTTGTAGTAAGGTTGAATCAGCTGTCTTGCTGAATACAACATTAAATATTATGGAATTCATGATGCAGTTCTTCTGTTTTACATTTTCTAATCAGTATTTCTAAGCTGATTTTATATTTTAAATGTACTCTTAAGCCTTCATAAAGTAATCATTCCAGATTACTACATATTTAAATCACTGAAACAGACATTATTTTAAATTAATCAGTCACAGAGGTTTAGTGTGTTCATAACAATGTTCATTGCTTTTAGAAAAAGGGAACACTAATTTACTGTGTGATCTCCATAACAATACACATGTTTATGAAATTTCACCAACTTTAAAAAGTATGTTTCCAAAGATTTTAGGCATAACAAAGGATTTTATATGTTAAGGTACTGATTTTGCTTAAAACTAGTTCATCAGATATTTAAAAATAAAGAAAGGGAAACTCTTTGTTCAGCTATCTGGAAGCAAAGGGCTGTTGCTTCCTTCAATGGGGGTGGAGGGAGGGAGAGGGGGTGCAGGGAGAAATGGATGGACAGAAAGGACAGGAAGACTTTGGAAGTAAGTTTTTTTATTATAGTAATTAAAATGTGTATTTTAGATAAGGGTGGTTTTTTGAAGAATTTATTTTAAAAATCGTATGTCTGAAGATCCAAGCATTTAAGGCTAAAGATGATTGTGCATCTAAAAATCTATGCAAGGATTTTTTAGAGATGTGATTTTATAATCTTCACCAATTCACTAATGAAATATTTTTAAAGCAAATTTTAAACTAAGGTCCTGTAGACTGACATATTCTGAGTAAATATTACAGTCATGCACAACTGTTTTTGTCAGTACATTCCAGAAACTGGCAGTAGATACCTGGGGGTTGGCAAATGCCTGTTAAATGTCTTCATTACCCCTTGAATGGCTCTTTAACAGTTTCAGTGTTGTGCTAATAGGTCTGGCAGGCTGGAGACTGTTTCTTTTAACTACTAGATCCCCTTCCCAGAAAGACTCAGAGCCTGCAGGAAGGGTCAGAACAGGGATAGGAAACAGTGGGGTGGACACTAAGACCCAGCAGTGCCCCAAATTTTCAGGTGCCCTACCCAGCTGCCTATGCCTGAGGACTGCCCCGGGCGCCCCCCCCCACTTGCCGCCCTAGGCCACTGCCTAGTTCACCTAGTGGTTGCACCAGCCCTGTATGTTTGGCTTCTTGTAATTTTTCAAAATGAAGTTCCAAAAGGGAGTAAAATTTCTTTGTTCAGATACATACTGTAACATCTCTAGCATCTTATCAAGCATTGTTTTGGTTGATACTGGCCACTGAAATAGGTGTTTAAAAAGGACATGCTTCTCTCTGACATTTATCGTTCTGCTCCATGAAAAAGGTATATTTTCTTGTGAATAAAATACAGCCTTAACTAGGAGTGAGGCAGCACCCAGACTCGAGGTGTGAAATGAACCTGATCATTTCAGAAATTGCAGACTTATTAGCAGAAAAGTGGCACTGTGAATTTCCAATAGGAAAAATAACTTCAGTCTTAAATATCAGAGCAGTAGCCATGTTAGCCTGGATCTGTAAAAGCAGCAAAGAATCCGGTGGCACCTTATAGACTAACAGACGTATTGGAGCATGAGCTTTCGTGGGTGAATACCCACTTTGTCGGATGCATGTAGTGGAAATTTCCAGAGGCAGGTATAAATATGCAAGCAAGGGTGAGTCAGGCTAGAGATAACGAGGTTAGTTCGATCAGGGAGGATGAGGCCCTCTTCTAGCTGTTGAGGTGTGAACACCAAGGGAGGAGAAACTGCTTTTGTAGTTGGCTAGCCATTCACAGTCTTTGTTTAATCTTGAGCTGATGATGTCAAATTTGCAGATGAACTGAAGCTCAGCAGTGTCTTTGAAGTCTTGTACTGACGTTTTTTTGCTACAGGATGGCTACCTTTAAATCTGCTATTGTGTGTCCAGGGAGATTGAAGTGTTCTCCTACAGGTTTTTGTATATTGCCATTCCTAATATCTGATTTGTGTCCATTTATCCTTTTACATAGGGACTGTCCAGTTTGGCTGATGTACATAGCACAGGGGCATTGCTGGCATATGATGGCATATATTACATTGGTGGACATGCAGATGAATGAACCGGTGATGGTGTGGCTGATCTGGTAGATCCTGTGATGGTGTCGCTGGTGTAGATATGCGGGCAGAGTTGGCTTCAAGGTTTGTTGCATGGATTGGTTCCCGAGTTAGAGTTACTATGGTGCGGTGTGTAGTTACTGGTGAGAATATGCTTCAGGTTGGAGGGTTGTCTGTGGGCGAGGACTGGCCTGCCACCCAAGGCCTGTGAAAGTGAGGGATCGTTGTCCAGGATGGGTTGTAGATCACTGATGCGTTGGAGAGGTTTTAGCTGGGGACTGTGGAGTTCTGTTGGTTTCTTTCTTGGGCTTGTCTTGCAGTAGGAGGCTTCTGGGTACATGTCTGGCTCTGTTGATCTGTTTCCTTATTTCCTGCTATGATGGCAGAAGCCCAGGCAACATTGCAGAGCAGCTGGGGATTGATGGCCATGCAGAACTAGTTTGGACCATTGGTGCAATGACCAACCTCAAGGCAACACACAAAGGGGTTTAATTCAGGAAATAGCTCTTATGATCTGTATAAATTGGAGACTTGGTCTGAAACCAGTAAGATGTAGTTCAATAAAGATAAGTGCAAAGTACTACACCTTGGAAGGAAAAATCGAAAGCACAAATATAAAATTGGAAATAACTGGGTACATAGAAACGTAGCGGAAAAGGATCTGGGAGTTATACTGTATCACAGACTGAATATGAGTCAATAGTGTGATGGTACTACCAAAAAAAAAAAGGGTAAATGTCACTCTGGGATGTATTAACAGGAGTGTTGTATGTCAGACAGGGAAGTAATTGTTCCTCTCTCCTCAGCACTGGTGAGGCCTCAGCTGGAGTATTGTGTCCGGAGGAAACCAACAAAAGTGAAAAGAGGTTTCGCTATGTGGTAAGGATGAAAGATCTGGGCATGTTTAGTGTAGAGAAGATAAAGCTGAGAGGGGCATGATAATAGTCTTCAAATATGTAAAAGATTGTTGAAAGAAAGATGATGATGTTCACCAAAGGTAGGACAAGAAGTAATTAGCTTAGTTTGCAGCAAGAAAAACTTTCTAACTATATGGATAGTGAAGCACTGGAACAGGTTACCTAGGGAAGTTGTAGAATCCCTGTTACTGGAGATTTTTAAGAATAGGTTAGATAAATACCTGTCGGGGTAGTCTGCATATACTTAATCCTGCCTCAGCCTGGGGGGCTGGAGTAGATGACCTCTTGAGGTCCCTTTCAGCACTGCATTGCTATGATTCTACGAAATCAGACAATTAAAGGAAAGTGAATAATTAAAAATCAAACAGAGCAGTACTAAATGTACATTTTCAAAAGTATGAAGTGTAGCTGTGTTGGTCTCAGGATATTAGAGAGACAGGTGGGTGAGGTCATATCATTTATTAGACCAACTTCTCTCTCAGCTACAGAAGTTGGTATAATAAAGGATATTAGCTCACCCACCTTATCTTTCCATTTTTAATAGTGTAAGTTATGTGAAGAACAAGATTTGAGAGCTAATTCTTAGTTAAAGTGTCACTGTGGGAACTTGGTCTCAGTAATTGCAGTGGTAACTGAAATAAAAGTGAAGTTCAGAACTAAGGCCACAACTTGTTGGACACATAATAAAGACTCTGACTGTTGTGATGATCATTGGGAATGCTGTGGCATTACTCAGAAGAATATTAAACTTCATGCCATGATCAGATTCAGGTGTAAATAGTTACACTTTTAGCACTAGCTACCTGGACCTATCAGAGTAGTGAGGATTTGAGCAGGGCACTGAGGGTATGTCTACACGACGAAATTAGGTCGATTTAATAGAATGAACAGAGATGAATGCTGGGCTAAGCTTAACCTTAATATGTAAATGCTAGTGTATTTATGGGCTTAGTCACATCCCTCATCGGTTCATATGCTTCACAAACAACTCACGCAGCTTTATTGAAAAACTTTGGGGCAGAACCTCAGGTCTGTCTGAGCTACACTCAGCATAGGCTCTGGGAAGGGGTGAGAAAAAGGTGCCTTAAACCCCCCCAGAGGATAGTTCAATCCCCAGCATAAATTAGAGAAGCTTCAGGGCTCTTCTTCTAGCCCAGGACTGTCTAAGTGCAAGGTGCTCTGGCCACACCTCCTCCTGCCACTAACATGCCAATTACAGCATAGCCTTCTCTGCACAAGCCAGAAATTCCTCTATGCAAGAGGAATCCCCAGCTGCCCTGCTAGTGAGAGGAGGTTGAGAAGCTGTCCCCTTCTCATTAAATTGGGGACTAGGGCTTTTTACAGATCAGGAAAAGCCAGAGCTCAGCTTCAGCAGGTGCAAGCCAGTTTGTAATACAGGCACCACTGTCAGTCTGTATTCTTATTCTTCAGAATCTAGGCTTTCAGTTGACAGAAAATGTAAGTCTCTAGCAGTTACAGTTGCTGAGATACATTTCTGAGCCTAACTGGTGTAGCTACAGTTGCCTGCATTTGTTGAATCATACAAAATATCACTGAGAGCACTAGCTCTGCCTCATTCATCTCTAAAAAGAACAGGAGTACTTGTGGCACCTTAGAGACTAACAAATTTATTAGAGCATAAGCTTTCGTGGACTACTTC